AAGAGAAACACTCGCTACGCTCGTGTTCCTAATCTTGCTTCTCTTGTGTTTTTCGAACTCCCATCGTGTTTATATCAGAGGACAGAGACACGCGCGCCGTTTTATATTTCTTAAATAAGCAATTTTTGGAGGCTGTTAGAATAATTCTCAGTACAATATTTAAATACCAGAATGGTCATTGTACACCTTGGGAAAAACATTGTCCTGATAGTGATATAGGAACACAGGCATAGAAAAAAGGTAAAAGATACCACCATTCCAGTTGATTAAAATCAACTCCAAAAGGTCTAAAGTACTTTTTCTAGGACCAGGGTATTTACATGTATATACATTGTATCYACTGATGTCAGACCAAAAAGGCCAAAAACAATTTTTTATGTGCTTTTTCAATTCTTTCCTATAGTAATTAGAAGTTACTAAAAATACTAACAACAGAACGGGGTATRAAATCACAGTCTAACTGACATTGTGGTCTAACTTTCAGATATACTAACCAATAATTGGTTAAATACAATTTATCATTCTATAAATCTACCTTAAAGGGATTATCTTACCTTGGTATATTCAAATTCTTGATTGCCTTTCATTTCATGACATGGGAAAAGATCAACTTTAGCCCCCGATACATAGTCATGGACATCAAAACATGTCTCATCTGTCTTGAATTCCTTTATATAGGTATATTGAAATGCCTATTGTGGAAAAAAAATCAGTATTACACAATCAAAAATGAACAATGAACAAATGAATAAATGAATAAAAAAACAAATGAACAAATAAATAAATGAATGAATAAATGAACAAATAAATGAATAAATGAACAAATGAATAAATGAACAACTGAATAAATGAACAAATGAATAAATGAACAAATGAATGAATAAATGAATAAATGAATTGATGAACAAATAAATGAATAAATGAATGAATAAATAAATGCATTTTGAGTTACCTGGTTACCTCCCTGTCCATGACAATGAGTCATACCCACATTTCCATTCTTTCTTCCCATGCTGTCAATACACAGTTTACTTGCAGGATTCCGAATCTAAAAACATCATTACTGTAAATATTATGACCTCAACATAACTGTTACAGCAACGTCATAAAATCATAAGTTACATGTGATTCATGATGGGACTAGTGTGATTTCACAACTGAATTGAGATTGTTTTGTAAGTCATAAAGAAGTACATGTACATGTAGCTTCTCTGGAAGTATTGACTGGGAAAGTGGCTCAGATTCCTGAAAAATTGAATCAATTAAAAAAAAGTAAACAAGTATAATAACAAGCATCTAGAATTGTTGATCAAGAATCCAAGCCACTTGATGAAGTTATAGTTCTTTGAAGTTTAGAATTTTTTCATGTTTGTCATGAAAACGAGGTTCACCTGGAATGGATTGCCTGTTTCAATACATTCCTTCGCAAAAATACATAGTTTTGAAAATTCAYATCTTCACCAATTTAATTTATTTCTATATCTTTGAAACTTGGCATTTTATCATCATTGATATGCCAAATTCTGGATTTGTTTTCATTAATTGAGTATTCTATTGTGATATTTGTCTAACTTACCTCTCCATTAGCTCTCAAAGGCTCATATTTTGTTTTGACTGTGTCATTGGCCACATTCTCTAAATACCATTTAAAGCTTTTACATTTTAGTCTCTTTCTGAGAGCAATTCTGTCACTTATATCCCCAGGATCAACAGACTTGAGGTCAGGTCTTCTATCATACAACCAATCTTTGTATTCATCCATCCAAACTTCAGCAACACGACGGAAGTTGACCAAGGTAGCATCATGCTTAGGGTAGGAATATGGAACATGATGACGGTAAACATGACCAACTCTTGAACAAGGAATRTTCTCCAACTGYCCACCACACTGCCAAAGCTGAGAAAGGAATATAAGATTGGGTAAATGAATGTTTATTAAGACATTACATGCTGTGGTCTGACCTGCAAGGTCTGGTTAATAACAAATACTGGTAAATGACAAATAAGACTCCACTGAGACCTTTGACAAACTATTACAGACACATGTAATGTCTCAGCACTATGCCTTTAGTGAGCTGGTAAGATCCCATGAAAGATGTAGATATGAGAACAGACACTGAGCCATGCGGGACAGGCTTAGAAATCATATACAGCATTGGTAATACATAACAAATTATTATCATGGCACCTTTTCTTATATTGAAAAAAGAAAAGCAAAACAAAAAACAAACAAACAAAACATACCTTAAAGGATATCTCATATTGCTCCCCTCCCCATATAAACATTCCAGGATCATACTGGCCAAGAGTTYTGAAGTATTCTCTATTTATTCCAAATAAGCCTCCAGCCATTACAGGTGATCTGTAAGAAATAATTTCACAATTATAACAATTTCGATTATCAAAATGAAATGAAGTGCTATAAGAAATACAWGTAATATGAAATTAAATTCTTTATTTTTACAGATTTGAATGGCAAGTTCTTAATCAATGTCTTAAAAGACTTACTTGACAGGCTCCGTTGCATCTTTTCTCCTTGCCAGCATTTCACGAGTAAGAGCTCTTTCTTTGTAATCAAACCTCCAGTTAAAAGTTCCTCTGATCAATGGATCCATAGGTTTATACTGGAATGTATTATGATCAATAAAATCAATTGTAGGACAAACAGCAGTTTTGGAGTCAAGTGCAATCCGCTCAAGTAAAGGWGGCAGCCATCCTTTGTTTGCTTCACAGTGGGCGTCTAAAAAAATGACGACTTCTCCAACCGCATTGTCTGCTCCTATAACTCTTGCTTTAATCAAGCCAACACGCTCTTTTGTTCTTACTATTTTGATTTTGCCAAGTTTGTCTGTGTAATCTTTTAGTTTCTGTTTGAGGTGATCTGAAAATTAAATTTGAAAATATGCAAATTAGTACAATTCAATTATRGYGGTGGTGTTAACTTTTAAAACAAAAATTTTACAAATTTTTCCCTTTAAATTCATGTAACTTTGTGAACTGAGTCAATTTCACAGGGATATATGTATGTGGTCAGTAGCTAACAAGCATATCTTGTCTATAGTATATAGCTCTAGGATGTTGAGCTATTTTCTCTTCTATGAAAAAATTTCAATAAATAAAACTTTCAATTTTTGAAAGAAATTACATCACACTTTGCCACTATTGACTATAAATGCAAAAGGAATCATGTAGAGAGGTGAGAGATTGATGTCCTTAGGCATGGTGTCCATATAATTAGCCTAATAATTGCGACACTGGTGAAAAACGCACTGCGCATGTCCACAGCTTTCCCGCTGAAATCTGCCTAATTTCCTTTGTAAAGSGATTTTTGTAAAAGTTTTTTACAATTTATAAGCTCGTTCACCGATATATAAGATTCATATTTCCATCAATMATTGTTCATGATAGGTCCTTTTAGTATGTAGTTTCTATTTTTATCTTGTCRTTTCTATTTTGAGAAAATGATTTTTTTTGTAGTGTTTTCTGTGTTGTCGCTGTAAATCGCCAGGCGCTCTGTTTACAGATTTCAAGACGCGAGCACCCACTGGCGGGAAAGCTGTGGGCATGTGCAGTGTGTTTTTCACCAGTGTCCCTAATTGCCCGAAAAATGTGTTAATTCCCTTGGGATGATCCAGACGATTATATAGACATTAGGTCTTAACTGTCATGAGCACCTTGTCACATCCTACAAAATAAATACCCCCTGAATACTATATTTTTTGTACTCTATTCTCAATATAGTGAAAAATAATTGAAAAATGCTATGATGCTAAAAAGTGCATTAGTGTGGAGGAGCTATTTGTTAGTATGACCCAACTGAGAGAAGTTTGTGTGATCTATGCCCAAGCGTATAATTACAATACCTTTGGTACTAAAGTCATCTACCATGACAATTTCTTCAATATATTGTGGTGGCGATCTTAAAAGCACTGTATGAACAGTTCGTAGCAAAGTTGACCATCCTTCATTGTGGAATACAATCACAATACTAGCTTTAGGTAGCTTTGTGAGGTATTTACGAGACTTACATCTGAGATAAAAAGCAAAGAGAAAAAAAAAATTAAAATACAGCATGCTTTAAAAAATGTCATGTACTGGTCGACATTGCTAAATAAAAGCACATAACAAAACAAACTCTTCTTTGAGTGTGAAAATATAAATACAAATATTGTTTTCTGAAGAAGACTGACTTTCTGTTCTTTACAGACATTATACAGTCAATCCCMTTTATGTTGCTTATTGGTAAAGACATTAAAGAAAACAACAGAGTCATTTGCATATGTCACATCTTAAATTGTTCCAAAACTTTTTTATGCAAATGACGTTGTTCAGTATGTTTCAATAAGTCTTTACAGCTGTACAACAATAATGAGATTGACTGCATAAAGAACTGAGAGCATGTCGCAACAACACTCATAAAACACTGACGAATAAGATATCAGTGTTTTAGAACACTGAGGAATTAAAAATTAAAGATAGATGGTTTGTGCCCAATTAATATTCTTCAGGAATAATTAATGAATTCTCAAAGCTGCTATAACAAACTTGACTGTGTGTTATTATATCAAGTATTAAGATATAAAGATCACACTTGTGTAGAAAACCCTCATATCCCATGAAAAGCACAGTAATTATTGTATTCAGTAAATATTTAGACACACTTAGAAAGAAAGAAAGAAAGAAAGAAAGAAAGAAAGAAAGAAAGAAAGAAAGAAAGAAAAGGAGATAAAAGAAAACAGACAGGACTGTAACAATAAGAATTGCAGTCAGCTTTGATGGTAGAATAATATCTACTATACAGAGGTGATTCATACTTCTAAATGAACTTGAAATAGAACTTACTAAATGTAAAGAAGTTACATAAAATCTCAACTTACAGTTCATTTCTTGTGTCTTTGATAGACCTCTCCAATGAGATTTTATCACTGACATATTGATTAAAACCATATTCTGAATAGGATTCTTGCTTTTTTGACTCATCAGCAGRCTTAGTTTGAACTGGTTCACCATTTTCTCCAGGACCACTTCGATGTGTTTTCTTGTTTTCTGGCGTCCAAAAATTTCCAATTAGTAACTTAGGTTGTTGGATGTCAACAAGCTCCTGTTCAGTATCCATAACAGAGTCTAAGCTAGAATTATAACGTCTCAAATTTATAATAAAGTATAGTACATAGCAAGAAAACAGGAAGAATAAAAGCTGAACCGCTTTTCTCAGAGTAAGTCGCATTTTGTTGTTCAAATGTTTTGCCTAAAATTGACAAATCTGCGAGGAATTGCCAAACAAATTCTGCGAGTTCCAGTGAAGAATGTTATACCAAAAGTCGTAGTTTAAGCTTATTCAGCACCACAATACATCGTTAGTAACCATTATTCCTCATACTTCATTTCTGATTAAGAAGTCAATGACCTCGAAAGAAATGTAAAAGGTGTTCAGACWATTATTTAGCGCGCCAAAGGACATCTAATCCAGCCAGTCGTACGTAAACACGTCACCAGAATGATAAAACGCTTTGAAGATAATAGTACAGTTTAAAAGTTTACCAACACATTAGTGGCTTATTTTCAAAGAGATGTTCAATTTTTCTTGAATTGGAATTTTGATAAATTCACGCGCCGGTAATATCGAAAGCGTGATAGCTGTTCCAGAACTTCTGATGTGGAACTGCTAGAGCCAGTCCTCGACCGATAGAACTGCATTTGAGCCCCTCCCCTCCCCTGGACGGGAAAATGTATCGTTATCTCTTATTATCTTAGTCTATTGGTGATCTTTTCCATTCTTTTTGCAAAGCCAGTTATCTGTAATGGAATTAATTAAATGAGTAAATGAAAAGAAAAAGGAGAGAAAATAATAGCTCTACTGCAAAAGTTCACATGAAACCGAATATAACTGAGGGCCACTACTTARAATTAGCTTTATAATTCAAGAATGKCTGTTTGTTGCAAATWTTGCTTCTATTATTTACAACAATGTTATGATTCCTCTTTTTCTTCYCATTTTATACTAGTTTGTCACCAGTCTCCAGCGCGTGCCAGTGGGATGATTGCATTGTACATCCGGGATCTTTTTGAATCACGTTGTTCAAGATGGCGGAAACAGGTGAGCTGCAGTCTCATTCAAGACAAATTACGATGCCATTTTTACAACTTCTCTTTCATGATAACCTTATAGATCCTGAGCTAAAATATTTCGTAATTGTTTGATGCTCTACTTATGTTTTTTTTGATAACTTTTGTATCATAGCAAAGAAAGGAAAAAAGAAAAAGGGGAAGACGTTGAACTTGGTGGAATTCTTGACCGATGGCCCAAACCAAGCATCAACGGGTTCGCTGGGACCAGTTTTTGCTGCCAGATCAACTTCAAGCTGGGCTGACGAGAGTGAAGAACTTAACACCGATGGTAAGTGTACTTTATACTGTGTTGTAGAGTTGGTAGATTCAATAATATACCCAACGTGGTCTTTTTAGATCTTTTCGTGAACGTGCAATGTGTTTGATCATGATTGGAGGTGTTTCTTTGAATAAGATGAATTTGATTGACATTTTTTAGCTAAACACGCTAACAAGACTTTCCGTACGTGGTATCTAGTTAAATATTGTGTTTGAAACTGGGAATCAATAAAATCCCCAATCCTAGCTAGAAGCATTAAAAGTGAAATTTAAGAACTACTTAACTTAAATTTCTCGTGCGAAAAATAAATGAGGCTACTTTAATTTTTATGTCAACAGTCTTCTATTAATTTAAAAGTCTCTTCATTTTAATGAAAATCGAAGCAATTCTTGTTTTAGACTCTTGAAATTTATTTGAAACATCAATATCAAACTGTTTTGAAGTAGTATGTATTTTTAATTGATTTAAGGTTAAAATCCACGTACCTTGCACGTGAAACTCCATAACATTGTTTATTGTCTGACTCCTTAATATCTGTCTTGATCAGCATCTGAAARCGGTCATTGTTTTAAACACTTCTTTAATAGCAAATAGGAATATTAGTTTAAATTTGATTGAATTTGAGCTACCTTGATTGAAAGAAAGCCTTTGGTCATAAGTTTAAATTTACAAAATGAAATTATATTTTATTCATGGTTTTAACTGTAAAATTGCCCTATTGGTGATTTATTGACAAACATTTATCTTGCAAAGTCTGTGGAAATATTGTTATAATTCACTATTTTTGTAATATTCTATATTTATTACTATTTTGTTAATATTTGCACATACCATAATAGTTAGAATAAACTGAAGAAATTCTACATCAGTTCTAAAGGTTAGGATTTATGCTGGTTATAGAGACCTTAGTAGATACATGCATTAGTGGCTAGACAGGCAGGACAGGAATTCATCTTACTGATGAATCACTCCAGTATCAGAGAACCTAGCAAGTTGTTGAATTTCAAATTCTAGTTTTCCAAGATTAGAAGATTATGGAGTTTTCTTGAGAAACATGGAAAGTCATTGACTTCTATTCCCTGAATAAGTTTTTAAGTGCAATGTAAAGTGTATTTTTTTAATAGTTAGCATTGATGAATCATAGACAAATTCATAGAATGTTAGACAATTGAAATGACAGCATTGTCAAAAGCATGTTTACTTTTGCCATTGACAGTGGATAATAGATGGCCAGAAGAATCATTTGGTGGTGTTAGCTCACAAAAACGTCAGATTGACTTATCAGCGCTGCCAACAGCACCAGTAGCATCACTCACTGTTGAAGTGGATTACAACAAGATTCCTGATAAACCACCTTATACAGCATTTCTTGGTAATTTACCGTATGACGTGGAGAAAATGGATATTATGACATTTTTCAAGCAAATTAAGGTRAAGTAATAGAAATGTTTATACATGTCGAGTAAATTTAGACAAATCTTACCTTGAATGGCATGTGATAGGTAGATGTTTGAGAGGGTGGAGGGTRGGGATAAGAAATTGGCATACAAAAGTAAAATTGAGCAAAAATACCACATTTATACATGTAAAGACACATGATGATAGATATGCAAAACGTTTTCAAATATTATTCTTTCAATTTTATTTTTACTTTTGCTGCATGGTGACATTATACATTATTTTATTGAAATGATTCAAATCTTTTTAAGAATATTCATTATTTTAGAAACATCTTTCCACTAGAAATGCTATTTAAACTTGAGTCAGGTTTTTTGACCATAAATGGYTAACTGCATTGCCCCCTCTGGGGAAAAGTTAGAGATTATTACATGAAAAAAGAAATCATGCAATAATATTAAAGATAAGTTAATGATRGTAATCAAAGTCAAGTTGCTTATGAATTTGTGTCTGCTGTGTCTATCAGATAACTGATGTAAGATTACCACAAGATTCTGGAGGTGGYAGACCAAAGGGCTTTGGATATGCAGAATTTGCAGATAAAGAATCATTGGTTCAAGCATTGAAAATGAATAATGAGGTACTCTTAATGATCTAAATGATTGTTAAACTCCTTTAATTCAGATATGAGATTTGATTGTTTGTTATCATAAAACATGTTATCATAAAACAACTTGCAGCTCTTTCTAGAAGAACACAATCAAGCAAACAAAAAATCTATAAAAAAAAAGATTAATTTAAAACTATTGCAAAAAKAAGCTATCTGAAATTCTTGGAAAATCAAAATGAATCATCTGAACTCCTAATATATTTTGTATTTTGTCTTTTTGGAGATTTTTCCCCATTAGTCCTTTGTTGTATTTCAGACGTTAAGAGGAAGAAAACTAAGAATAGATATAGCTGGACAAAATCAAGGTAACAATATTCAACTTGTGARACAAGAACAAGGTCTCAAGTCAATACATAATGTTATCAACACACCAAACCAAATAGTCAATTTGTATTGACTCAAATATATTGGTATGTCATYGGTTAAAAGTTTGGATTGTCATGATAATAGCTTAATGGCTAAATYAATGCAATCAGCACAACTAGTGTTGCTATGCCATTGTCTTGCCGTCAGGTCAAGTGGACTTCTTAAMAATTAGACCTTTAGGGCKAGTGGATTATGAGCTGAGAGCCCATGAGGCCCAAAGGTCTAATGTTTTAGTATTAGACTATCAAAGGTCAACATGAATAAGTCTTATAATACTTTGTTTGCCTAATATTTATTATAATTATTAACTGATTGCATTTTTTGTTAACTGTGGAGATGGAAGAGATAGGAGTGATAGGGATGATGCTCTTGATAACCCGACTGGTAACTGGAGAGACATGTGTGAAGAGCCTCCATCAAGACCAAGTGGCCGATATGACAGCAATAATGACAGATATTCCAGGGATGGGGACCGTTATGACAGGAGAGATGGYGACAGGTAATATACTAGAACTGGTCTCAAATCATGCATCCACTTATATCACTATGCATTCTACAACTATATGYAAAGTTTTGTCCAAAGTAAAATTGTTGTTATAGAAATTATTTACATTCAGTTTTATCCTCAAACTTTTTATGGACAAGAAAAAAAAAAATCAATTTACATACAAGGAAGAAAAGAATTGATGTTTTTTATGTTTGGACATAAATACAATTTGAAATATGATTGAAACTTCAATCACAAAGACCTTTACTGTATAATCACATTTTGTTTTCTGACTTTTGTGAACATGGTATTGATTCTCGAAACTGTAAATGATTTTATGAAAAAGTTGATCACTATTTCAGGCATATCTGAAATGGTATTGCTAGGGATACAGTTTTGGCCTTTCAAGTGTAGTTGTTATGACTATTATACAGAGAAGAAAGTTGTCGAATAACGGCATGTGTACTCTTGCTGCTAGGGGTTATTTTAATGACTATGATGGTCACCGTGGTTACGATGATCCCAGGTCAAGGAATCGCTATGACAGTGATCGCTATGGAGATCGTTACGACAGTCATCGTCCAAGAGATAGAAACATGTATGACCGGTATGGTTAGCATGATTTCACACAATTAATAGAGTCCAAATCCCTCTTTGCACATGCACATATCTTGATTATAAAGACAATTCCTTATAAAATTGTTTTTCTTTTTTAAGGGGGCGCTTTGGTGATCGAGATAGAAGGGACTATGGCCGGGATGGGGATAGAGGGTCCATGGAAAATGGTTATGGWCGTAATGACAGAGGATACAGCGACCGTGGAGATAGAGGCTATGGGGGTTACAATGATCGTGGAAGTCGTGGTTATGGTGGTGATAGGGGGTATGGYGAYCGTGGCAACAGAGGTTACAATGATCGTTATGATAGAGGTGAYCGYTATGAYAGAGGTGATCGTTATGAYAGAGATCGTTTTGATAGAGGGGACCATGGAGAAAGAGGTTTTGGCGATGGCTGGGGAAGGGATGGTGACAGAGGATCTAGAGATCGACGTGATTATGGAAGAGGGAATTATAATGGAGACATGAATCGACAGCGTGAGCCTGAACCAGGTAAAATATAGACCAGTCCATGTTGATTTTTATTTAAGAAAGATTGAAATAGTATTTTTACTTCAACTTTGTACACAAGCCCATAAAAGTTGGATACAAATATTATATCTTGCTTATCAAATTTCAATGTAAGCCAAATCATATTGTGTGAAAAACTTCAAGATAGAATAAGAAAAAATCAAAGTTTAAGTCATAATTGTATATCAGTACAAATCTCTTGCTCACATAAAGATGTGGTCACAGCATTGGCTTTCCTTTGTGTTTATCTTATGAATTATTGAAGAATTTGAAGCTATTTTTATTGTTTTCTTTATCACACTAATATGTACTCTTGSTCATCACAATTTTACTAATTTATAGCAAGAGAAAGACCAAAACTACAATTAAAACCCAGAAGTGTGCCCATTGAAGATASTCCWGCACCTGCATCAAGGAGCTCATCAATATTTGGTGGTGCAAAGCCAGTTGACACAACAGCAAAGGAAAGAGAAATAGAAGAAAAACTAGAAAAACTGAAAGTTGAAACCGAAACAAAGAAAGAAGATTCCTCAGGAGAGAGAGGTTTCAGGTCATCGAGAGAAAGAGCCCACTCGGGAGATGGAGAATTCAGAAATCGAAGGGATAGCAATCGTTCAAGCGACGGTGATAAACCAGGCAGTCGTGGAGGAAGAAGGGATAGCGAAAAGTCCGTTGAAAAAGAAACTGTCACAAACAAAGATAAAGAAGATGCAACTCCAAAAGAGGCTCCTCAACCCACAGTGAATGTCTGGAAACAAAGAATGGAATCCCAAAAAAACACACCATCAGAAGACAAACAAACATCASAAGAAACACAAARCAAGCAAAGCATTGAGAAACCACCAGTTAAAAACTCAACAGAAACCAAAACAGTATCTTCAAGTGGTGCACCRTCAGGTAGAGGATCTGCTTCAAGACCATTTAGTAGAGGTGGAGAACGRGGTGCAAGCAGAGGGCGAGGAAGGGGCCGAGGTAGAGGAGATTATTCCASTAGACAAGTGGAATCCTCCAGTACAAATGACAATAGGAATAAAGAAGAAAAAAAAGAACGCAGAGAACGAAAACCAGCAGAGCCAAAAATAGTAGATGAACAACCACCGGTATGTCAAATATTAGTATAGTGTAAAAACATAATTATTATTATTACTATATTAATTTATATTATAGCYCAATTCTAACATGCATGCTGATTGGCAGATGTCATGAGAAAAGCTATGGTTTATTTCGCTGGTAMATCAGCCTTGAAAGACTTTTGAGTSTAAATGGTGGACGCTGTCCCAAATTTTCTGCTATAATATGAAAGTAATAAATGATACAGTAGCTTGATTTGGGATGGTTGGGAGAACACTCGAAAAGGTACATGTAAATCAGATATTTTCTTGTGTTCTCCCAACCATCCCACTCTTATTATTTCGCCAGTAAGCCACTTCAAACTATCATTTATTGCTTAAATATGCATTCTTTTAAGTTATGTATAGTGGAACCTGGTTATTGAGTCCAATGAATAGAAGTCAATGAATGAAAAGTCATCTAATTTATGTGGTTGTTTCACAGGTATTTCACAAGCAAAGTAAATTCTCACTTCTAATGGATGAAGGAGGGGATGACGATGAAGAAGAAGACAATACTGAACAGTCTTAAGTTCTCATCACTTGTAAATGAATTTCACATAAACAAAATATGAAACATTTACACAGTTGACATGAATTGAACATTACCGACCCAGTTACTCATGTCGCACAGTGTTTAATCACTAGTAATAATGTGTCTTTAAGGTAATTTAACACCTTGKTTAACATAAGCTCTTTCTTTTTTAACTGCTGTTGAAATGGTATACTCTTTGTTCAAACAATGTGTTCAATGTATGAGAATATACACCAAGAGCATTGCAATTTTGTGTTCAGGGAAAATAACTGAACATTTGGAATATTTTGTCTGTTTTATGTCTGTGCAACATAAGGATTTGAAATTGCTACAATTTTACTAAGGATTCCCATTTTAGTTTCGCAGCGCTTTGTCAGTCGTTATTAATCTCATTAATGTCATATTTTATTTTCTAATGTAATGTGCTGTAATTACAGTCGAATAAAACCAGAAATCATTAGCAAGTCSATGGTCATGTCCACACAACTCTAAATAAATTKGAAAACGAAGCCTTATTTATTTGACGAACTGTGGATACAGCCTGTTTGATATATAAGTCGATTCAATATCTAATAAAAGCAAATCACATTGACATGACTTGTTTTTATTTATTTGTGTAGGGGTAGTGCAGAATTCTTTAAAGTG